ATTAAATAATTCCTATCTAGAAACTATTACATTACCACTTAAAAGAGTTAGTTCACCCAAAAATGGAAATTCTGTCATTAATTACTTACCCTCATGTCGTTCTAAACCCGTAAAACCTGTGTTCATCTTCAGAACACAAATTAAGATATTTTTGATGAATTCTGAGAGCTTTCTGACCCTCCCATAGACAACAATGTAATTACCATGATCAAGGTCCAGAAACGTAGCAAGGAGATCAGTAAAATAATCCATGTGACATCAGAGGTTCATCCGTAATTTTACGAAGCTACGAGAATACTTTTTGAATGCAAAGAAAACAAAAATAACGACTTTATTCAACAATTCGTCTCCTCCGCGTCACCCTGATGCCATTTTGGAGAGTATCCACTGAACCTAAACAGTGTATGCTATTCTGTCAGCTGCGTCACGCGGATACACTGTATCGAATTATTTTTGTTTTCTTTGCGTACAAGAAGTATTCTTGTAGCTTCGTAAAATTACGGTTGAACCCCTGATGTCACATGGATTATTTTACCGATCTCCTTGCTACGTTTCTGGACCTTGATCTTGGTAATTACATTGCTGTCTATGGGAGGGTCAGAGAGCTCTCAGAATTCATCAAAAATATCTTAATTTGTGTTCTGAAGATGAACGAAGGTCTTACGGGTTTAGAACGACATGAGGGTGAGTAATTAATGACAGAATTCTCATTTTTGGGTGAACTATCCCTTTAAAAGTCTGGGGTCAGTAAAATTAGATCAGATCTAATTAGCTAGGAATATTGGATCCAGTCTTTTCACCAGATCCCGTCAGGACTCAGAAGATATCCAATTTGTTTGGTATCCAAAATTGTTGGTAGAGTTTTGTCTGATTCCCAAAAATAGTAATTAGTAGCTGTAGTTAGTAACATAATCCATTACATTACACATTTTAAGCGATATAATAGACTACTTTTTGATTACTTTTAGATTACTTCTGTCTAACAATAAAAATACAAAGAGAATGAAAATATATTCCTTTCGTTGTTATTAAAATCATGAAGTGCATTAAACATTACATCAATGTTTCCCAAACTGGCATCTGTAAAGAAACTGCAGGGGGTTTGTGAGTTTAATGAAAAGAGAATATTTAATTAAATCATACAATTTTTTTAATTCAAATAAATCAATTTAAAACAACTATCAAAATAAAACGCTTACTAAAAATCATGAAATATTCTATTTGCTTACCTGCATGTCATGTGACAAATAACCAATGTCAAAGAACCTTGAACATGCAAAAGTGTTATTAATTAACTTATTACTTTAAAATCTCAGGGGGACTTCAAGTTAATATATTAGATAAAAGAGGTTTAGCTGGCAAAAAAAAGTGTGGGGATTCCTGCTTTATTTGAAAAGAAAAATCATGTGATTTTGTGCATTTTAATGTTTGAAAGACAAAAGCCTTCCTAAGACAAAGACTTGTGTGAATATGTAATCATGTAATCAATAAAGAAGTAACTGTAGACTCATTTCAAGTATTTTAAAATGCATACATAATATAATATAATATAATCTAACAAGTACTTAATTTTGGGATTATGTAACATGTAATCAGTTACTACCCAGCACTGTTTGTCTATTTGTCTTTAGTAACTAAAAGTCTTCTATTATCCTGAGATAACAGAAGAAGCCGAGGAAAACCAGAAGACGAATTGATGTTCATAAAAAAAGGAGAAGGGTTTATTGAATGATCTTATTTACATATCTTTGACTGAACAGCACTTATGCTCACCAAGGTTGCATTTACTAAATCAAAAATACAGTAAAACTGTAATATTACAATTTAAAAACAACTGGTTTCTATTTCAACATGTAATTTATTCCTGTATTTAATTTATTCCAGTAGCCATTGCTCTGGTCTTCAGTGTCACATGATCCTTCAGATATTATTTCTTTTTATCACCAACGTAAAAAAAACAAAAACAGGTGTGACTTCATTTTATGTTATTTTTGGGATTCATTAATGAACAGAAAATTCAAAAGAACAGTATTTATTTAAAACAGAAATGTCATTACTGACATTTTTGATCAATGCATCCTCGCTGAAAATAAATTCTTTCAAACTACTTTTCCATGACCTTTATTCCAGGCTTTTGAAATCCTCTGGACTGTAGGAATGCTGGTCAACGCATCAGTGTAGTTATAACCAGAATTAGTATTCACATGAGAAAAGAGGATTGTTTTTCAGTTTAAATAATTTTTTTAAATAACCAGTTATCCAGTAACTCATCTCTAGACAATATGCAGACAGACATACTGTAACTGTTCTGAAGCTTTGAACTGACAGTCTAACTGATACTTCCAGACAATAGTCAGGCATTAATCGTACAGTTATTCTAACAACAAATAGCTCAGAGCAATCATGTAAATCCTATTAAAGTAGTGAATCCTCTTGTAGAGGCAGTTTTCAAGATTACCAGACAGTGGCAGCATTGGCTGATATGCAGGGGGAGGGGCTGACACTGTTCAAGATGACCTCAGGCTCCACTGCTAGACACATATAATCCATCCTTGCCTCCCGAAAGTACAAGGCGTTTTCATTGGCTCCCAGCCTCAAGATTTGGAATAATCCAAATGCATCTCCTGTAGTGCACAACATCAAGACCTGGCATAATGAAACTGTGTGATTTCACGCACTAGGTTTCCTCTTACAGATAGCTTTCAGATGTAAAGGGTGTGTTCACAACCTCAAAGTCAGCAATTATGTGTGCAGCAGCTTGTCAAGATATCCATGGAAACAAAAGCAAAAATAAATATGGGAGGCTAGGGGCGGGAAATAATAAAAAAAATGAAAATAAAATAAATTGGTGGAAAAAGACGCAAGCAAAAAAAGTGGAAAAAGCAAAAGGGTGGAGGTGTGTCGTCATGTAAATGACACATGCTGTACAGGGAAATTTACATCACAATTAAACACAACAAGGCCCTAATAATCCCCCTTTTTATCAAAGCATTCTAAGCATTCCTGCCCATCCGACTAAAGACGCACACATTCAGTACCCACTGCACGCTCTGAGAGGAAAGACAAAACAGCTATTTGCTTGGCATTAGACTCCCCTCCATCATGCTAATAAATGGGGCCACCTTCTGCAAACTCTGACCCTTTGATTACATAATACACCATCCCTGAGGAACAGGAAGCTGCATTACTCAAACCCTCTTTATGTCCCACAATGCCATTCACTTTCACAGTAACCATGTTACACAATCTGGGCTCACATCTCTGCAGGATAAAATGCAAAGCAAGATGTTTTCTCTTTTTAACTTCGCTTAAAACATTGTTATGCTATTTTAGTATAATTTACATACTAATATAAGTTTTTATATTTGGAATTGATTTTTATATTTTATATATTATTTTGATTTGAGCTTTTATTTTTGTATTATTTTCTGTTTTCATTTCGTCATTTCTGGTAACGGTTTAAATATTTTTTATTGTTATTTCATAAAATATATTGTTTTTGTTCATTTTCATCTCCGTTTTAGTTATTTCAGTATATTTTCAAACTGAGAAATAAATGAGAAATGTTGCTTTGGCAACTAAATGAAAATAAGTTTAAGTATATTTCTTTTATTTCAGTCAACGTTTATATGATTTTAAGTAATGACAATGTTTCTTTTTATGGTTTTAGTTTTAATTAACTATAATAACCCTGGCTTGAAACAACACTGACATAACTACATATGTCATCAACTGCTGGGAAAACAGCACTGCTTTCTCAGATGTATTTTAGACTATAAAGTTGAGGATGATCAAGTATAAGTGTACAAAAAATATACTGCATCAAGTAAATCATAAAACAATAAACAAACAAAATTGTTTGGCATTTGTGTCTGAGGCTTAAACGAAAGAATTCAAAGCTTATCTCGACGTTCAAACCAATCACAAATGCTAAGACGGATGATAAACACAAAGACTGCTTTGCACCTGCAACACATCAACAGCCATAAGGGCAGGAAGACTCCACATACCAGAAAACACTGGACCAAGAATGTCCCACACCCCAATCCAGCAGCTCAGAGCAGAATCACACGAGAGCTTGAGCTCACCAGCACACTCAGACTGCTGCACTGACAAGAGAATCATTGCTAAGATATTAGGGGAATGCAAAAAAAGGAAGTGATTTTGGACAACTGGACTACGGTGACATTCTGCTGTGAAAGTTTTGGAAGTCTGCAATTCACTCACTGAATACATTTTACAATAAAAACGTTGAAATGTAATTCTGCGAATAGAAACTTTTCATTCATTTTCACATTTTATTTTAATCATCACAGCCATAATCGACTGTTTCATTATGCAGGGGCAATTTTTACCCCTTTATCTTGAAATTGTGTGGCATCATTTGCCCCCATTCATTTCCAACCCTGGCAAGTATACTTATAATGTAATAAAATATTTATATTTCATCAAAGAACCCTGAGAAGAAAAAAAAAGTTTAATGGTGTTCACAAAAATATTGATAAGAAATGTTTCTTGAGCTCCAAATCAGCTTTGGCATCACATGAGTAAATTACATTTTAAAACATTAAAATAATGGTTATAAAAATGGTAATACTATTTTACAATATTACCATTTTACTGTATTTTGGATCGAATAATTGCAGCCTTTGTGAACATTAAATAATTATTTCAGAAAAATCTTACCAAACCCAAATATCTGAATGGTAGTGTATATAATATTTTACAAAACTAAAATCCTATTGAAATCTTTTCCAACATTTACAGGGGAAAAAATACTAATTTTCATGATATGACCTATTTAAATTAGTTCTGGTAGTGGTAGCATAGTTACATGTTGACTTGCAGAAGAACTGACTTCTTAGGCTATAACTTTCCTTGAAAAATCTGTATGAATACACAAGTTTTAATAAAACAATGACTTCACAACAGTTCATACAGTAAAACAACTGCACAGTAGTTGTAATTGTTGAGCTGTGATTGTGTGTGGAGATGCTTACCAGCAGAAAAGCAGAGGAGGTGACAGAAGGGAGGCCTATCCAGGCACTTGCCAAGGTCGCAATCCTACAGAAATACTAACAATCTGAAAAGAGAGAAGAGAAAGAGTTTTCATAACAACAACTCAAAATAAGAAAATGTCAAATGTGATATCACTGATTGCGTGTGCTTTTAAACAGCATTTCCCTGTTTCAATTCCTCTTCACATTTATCCTATCTTTAAAGTCTTTCTCCCCATAATTTCACAATTCAAATTCCAGAAATAAGCTTTAACACACTAAAGCCTTCTCACAACGTAATCACTCAGTGCATGTTAAGTTCCTAAATTCAAACTTGCTTTAGACTTCCTTCGGTTTCACGTGGGCCTGTTATACCACACTGCACACTAACCCGAATCGTTGGTCCATTACCACAGAAACAAACAGTGTGTCAAAGTCATCAAAACAACTACTGTGCACAGCTTTGGTCTAATGGAAGCAGTGCATCAATCCATCGTAAAACCATAATAGGCTCGAGCCTGCAGATGTGTGGTTTGATTGGGGCAGGGGATGTGCTAGATTTGTGGTTATTACGTTCATTCAAGACGACTTCAGCCCCCTCTTCATCTAATGCCTGTAGGCTGTAAAACTGCCCCGGTGGTAAAACGTTGGGAGGTGCTCTGGCCACTTCCTCTTGTGCAACACTTCCTCCTATGCACAGCAGACTTCAGCTTTCCATTGTGCTTGCTGGCTTCACCCTCACCTCATGTCAGTGTAGACCATTTAGTGCTGTTTTTTACAGCTCACAACCCTACTAAACGTCAGTGCATAACACTTCTGCATTGTTTGTGCTATGAACATGAATGATGCCTCAAATCATGAAGCTTGTTGAGGAGAGTTTTTTTTATTGTTATCTTTATTTTATTTTATTTTGGCATGGCAGATGGCAAAACTGATGAGGAACCCCCCCCCCCCCCCCAAAAAAAAAAGAAACATACCAACCACCAAAAAAAGACTAGGGCTGTCCCGACTAAAGATTTTTCTAGTCGACTTGTAGTCATTCATTCGACTAATCACACATTCATATTAATTTAATTATGATAGATATGTTTCTCATGTCTGTGAAGCAAGTAGACACTTTTGAGTTAATAGACTGAGACGACAGAAAGTGCATGCTGTGTTTTCTTTATTTTACAAAAGCACACAGTTTTGTTAATATTGTGAGTGTGAACAAATAAAAGTAGTCCCATTACAGTTTCAAATTATGTATTACTCTTAACTGTATGAGCGAAACTGATGGCATATTTGAAGTTGTTTCCGCTATTCTCAGTAAAAATGCAAATTCCTCTATGCCATGCAGTAAGCTCCACCAAAAAGACTTTAACAACCATCTAAAACACCTAGCAATACCTTAGAAACCATCTAAAATCTATCTAGAAAACCCTAGCAACCACTTCGCGACAACCTACCAACCACCTAGCAACAGCTTACCAACCACATTGCAACACCTTGGCTACAACCTAGCAACAACCTACCATCTAGACCGCTTTAGCAACTGAATAACAATGCACCAGCATGAATTTGGTTCACATTCAGATCCTGTATCATATTTTTGGAACTAAATAACTTATAACATTCACTTACATAAGTGGATGTCTGAATTACTTCTCAAAAGCTCTAAAAGTACAAATTTAAGAAATCGTTAAGTAACTTCCTAATTATCCTTAGTTCCTCTTGCAAGCTTTTATTAATTTTATTCATAAATGTAATGCAATATAAAATGGCAATTCAGTTTTAGTTCAGCAGGACACTAAAGTCAACCCAATGCTAAATTAATCAAAACCACTTGCTCCATGCCATATTCACATGGGATAGTTTACCCAAAAATGATCATTCTGTCATCATTTACTCACCCTCATGCCATTCCAAATAAGAATTTTGTTCATCTTTGTAACAAAAATAAAAATATTTTTAATGAAACCTAGAAGATTTCTGTCCCTCTACTCATGCAGGCAAAAAAGTTATACAGATTTGGAATGACTTAAAAGGTGAGTGATTAATGACAGAACATTCATTGAGTAAACTTTCCCTAAATCGGAATCAATTCAGAGCAGGAAAACGTAACAGGAATAGACTCAGGGCTTTCTAAAAATGCTTGACAAACTAGCAAACTGCAAATTCCTGACTGTGTGAAATGTTACTCTTTGCAAAATACACTTAGCTTGACAGATTTATGTCAGAAGGTCAGATAACAAAGGCAGTTAAAACTCTGCTTGAACAAGTGTCACATTTCCTTGAGAGATGACATAATTTCATCCCTCCTCAAACACATCTAAGGTGACTTCAAAGCTGCCAGTCATATTGCAAAAATGGCCATTTGCATGTTTCACAATCTTAAGTCAATCTAACAATAATCCCCAACAGCAAACCTGATGAAATGCAGAAATTGCTTAATTTAGATCCAACATTGAGAAAACACAACAGCGAGCAGATCCAACCATGAAAAAGAGTATGCCTAACCAACCATGCTGTATGACACGACTGCAAATTAGTCCAGAGGTCAAACAAACAATTTAACAAAATGGAACTCAGTTCACATAAGATACAATTTCAGAAATTGCTGGCATTGTTATGATGCTTTATATTTTGACAGCAAACCATCATTACAGGATATAACACGATTCTATCACGTGCAGACAGAGAGATGGATATCTTCACAGCAGCAAAGGATGCTTTTATCTAACAGTTCCAAATCTCTACAGACTACACATACGACTTTCTCTGCTACAATCACTACAACGCAACCAACAGAACACTGTTTGGCCCATTCAATTACACCGATCATTCATTTAGTCCTGCATTAAACAAAAAACATTAAAGGGGTCATAGGATGCCCATTTTCCACAAGTTGATATGATTCTTTAGGGTCTTAATGAAAAGTCTGTAACATAGTTTGGATAAAATTTCTCAATGTTAGTGTAAAAAACACCTTTTTTACCCTGTCAAAAACAGCTCTTTTCAGAGCATGCAGATTTGTAGCGGGTATCGGCTCCGATAGTGCCATTTTTCTCAGATCGGGTATCGATCAGAGAGAGCTGATCCAAATCCGAGATTTTCTTCTTTTTTTTCGATTGTGCGAATTATTCTGTTACTTCTGAAGCCATACGATAGCTTAATGTGAGCTACATATGAATATTTAAGTCCTTACATTAAAGTTCACACACTCTTTTCTCCGCTGTTGCTGTCAGTCATTCGTTCAGCCTTTAAACCCTGATCGCGTTCGGTTACAGCAGTCAGCTCGGTAAAGCTCTCTCCAAGATCATTCTGTGTTCCCATTATACTTGATTTGTAAATACATGTCTATGATTTTGCAAAAAGGTCTTTATCTTCTTGCCGGAGTTTAATGTTGTTTTGTTACTTGCTACCGGGTGTCTGTGAGAACAAAACACAGGCGTAGAAAAGACTATAAATTGTTTTTAATGTGCACATTAACTGAAATTTGAAACTGTTAAAAGAAAGGCTCAATAACTGTTGCACAGATATAATACACTACCCATTCATTTCTCTTCCCTTTGTGCTTGACAGTTTTTAACACAATGCGCTTACAATGTGCGCATCCTGTGTGCAGAATGATGCGCTTGAAGCAACACAGCGTCAGGCTGTTTATTTAGTAGCCAATGGCTAATAAATTCTCAGATTTTACTCGTCAGTGTGTGAGTTGGAGGCTGAGTATATGATTAGCACAGATATATTTTCACTCACAGAACACTCTGACTGAGCACTTCACTCTCAGTCAAGCAATCTGTGATATTTTTCAGTTCATTTTAATGGATGCCCAGTGCACCTGTGTTTGTGTATTTGGCGTAACGTAAACTCTAGCGTGAAGGCGCACGACTCGCCGTCACTTTCTCTCACTGTGAGCAAAGAGCGAGAGCGAGCGAGAGTCTTACATAACATGCAGAATTGATGCGCTACATGTAAATGATATACTTTGTTGTATTTTCCTGTAAAAATAACAGAGTTCCTTTGGAATTCTTCAGCTTTTAAGAACTGCCGGGTTTTCCTGTAGTAGGCGGAACTAATGCGCAAACGACAATCTCATTGACTGGTCCTCACCTATTATCTTCCCTGTTTTGATTTCAGCAAATCAGTTCGAGCAAACGCACACAACCTGATTACTATTCATGAATCCAGTAGCTCATTAATCCTTAGTGCGTTTTTATATTGTTCTTATTAGTAGAATTCGTATAATAATAATAATAATAATATCTTATCAGTGTTATTGTTCGTTTTTTTTTTTACAGGAACACTGAATGACCAAAAAAAAGCACCAGCACCAGTCCTAAGTTCATGGTTACAAAGTTTTAATTCTAATTACTCAACTTCTATTATTAAATAATACTTGATTATCATATTATAATGCTTGACTGCCTGATATTAAGAGTGTACTTTCAGATATTTAAAAAGATGTACCATTTTACAAACATTTAACTACAAATACAAACTCGCAATTCTGACTTTTTTTCTCAGAATATAAACTCACAATTCCGAGAACATATCAGTTTATTTCCCCCCCTCAAAATTGGACTTTAACTCGCAATTGCGAGTTTATATCACGCAATTCTGACTTTATAACTCGCAATTGCGGGTTTATATCTCACAATTCTGAGAAAAAAAGTCAGAATTGCGAAATATAAACTCGCAATTGCGAGAAAAAAAAGTCAGAATTGTGAGATAAAAAGCAATTTCCTTTTTCTTTTTTTTTTTATTCAGTGGCAGAAACGGGCTTCCATACCAAGGTGTCCGTTGAGGGTTGACTGTATAAAAACAGTTCGTGCTGCACTGTATTCGTTTTGTCCTATCATATCTATCATATATTGTTGCCTTATTAAAAAATATGCTATACATTTAAAAGAAATGCATTTTAATTTTATAGTATATACTTATATATAAATACAATCATGAATGTTTTTAATGAATGGATTTTATAATAATACAAATAGCAATGTGTAACATTTTACCATATTTAGTGCAACACTTTTATTTGTTCCCCACAAAATATAGTTTTTTCACTAAATGTTTGGATTTCTAAAATTATTGTACACTGATTTTTCTAGAATAACT